TAGTTGTGTGTGTGTGTGTATAGATATGTGTGTGTGTGTGTGTGTGTGTGTGTGTGTGTGTGTGTGTGTGTGTGTGTGTTTACATCTGATATCAAATTTGCTACAGTAAAAAACCCCCTGTTGTGAAAAATTTCTTGCCGCAAACATGATTCGTTGTAGAGGAGTTTCACTGTAGATGTGTCATAGTGGAAAACATTAGAAAGGGGGACCTGACTCCCCACTTTGCAGCTGTAATAGCTTCCACACTTCTAAGCGTGTCTGAGGCACTTGATGTTCATGTAGATCAGGGGTGCTCATTTCGTCCGATCGCGATCGACCGGTAGATCGCGGACTGGTCCCCAAGTTGATCGCAACCATTTGTGTGTCTTTGTGCATGTTCGTAATATATTTTTTGTGTTAGTGTACACTGCACCCAAATCCTCCTATCAGTCTTGTTTTCACAAAAAAAAAGTATTTAAAAAAATGAAATAAAATAAAGCAGGTAAATCTTTAACCTATGGTGGCGCGTGACCTGCATCACCGGTAGTTGTTAGTGCTCAGCAGTCTGCAATTGCAGCTTGTGATCAGATCTGTTGCGCTATATCTTTTATCGTTATCATTATTCTCATATTCTCATTCGGAGTTTGCTTCGTGTACAATTCACCAACGGCACGGGTAAAGAATAGGAATCAAGAGGGCCGAGGGAAGCACTTTAAAACGTTACGTGTGAGCTACGATAGTTAACAGGCTGCAAAAGTGCGTCGCATGACTCCGTGTCAGGCTGTTGCTCATCATGGCGTGTGTGTGTGTATGTGCGTGCGCGTGTGCGGTAACGGGTCGATGGCGGGAGGTTGGTTGATCGAAACTATGGTCCAAAAAGTTTGGGCACCTCTGATGTAGATGAACATTAAAGAGGTCAAAGTTCCATTCTTCAACACCAAACTCATTTATGCTGTAATAGCAACGATTCTTACTAAAACGGTTTTCAGAAAGCTGGAAGCATCTCAAAAAACGCCGTATTCCAAATCATAATGCATAGTGGCTCAAGCTTTATTTATTTTTCTTCAGGCAAATTTTTGCATGTTTGTTTTCCTGTATATTTACTTTGTAGGTCGGTGATGTAAATGCCAGAGAGATTTTCTATTGAGCCGAATGGACAGTTCTGTTGCAAAACGGGGAAAGCAAGTCAAATTCTCCATATGACAACCATATATCCATCTACCCATTTTCTGAACCGCTTCATCCTCACAAGGGTCGCGGGGGGAGAGTGCTGGAGCCTATCACAGCTGTCTTCGGGCAGTTGGCGGGGACACCCTGAAACGGTTGTCAGCCAATCGCAGGGCACACAGAGACGAACAACCATCTGCGCTCACACTCACACCTAGGGACAATTTTGAGTGTTCAATTAGCCTGTCATGTATGTTTTTGGAAAGTGGGAGGTAACCGAAGTACCTGGAGAAAACCCACACAGTCCCGGGGAGGACATGCAAACTCCACGTAGGAAGGCCGGAGCCGGGATCGAACCTACGACCTCTGCACTGTGAGGTCATCGCGCTAACCACTCGATCACCGGGCCACCCACCACTCCACTCTATATATGTCATGATTCGGTTTGGGACCAACAGGTGGCACTGTAGGGCTCTCCCTGCAGCTGCACACCTGTTGGTCATTAGGTAATTAGTGGCTTCAAAAGGACTCCCACCCCGAACAATCATTGTCGGGTCATTGTTGCTCTTTGCCACTGTCATGTTTGTTTGTTGCTGTTGCTTTGTGCTACTGTCATGTTTGTTTCAGTCAGGTTTTGGTCATTGTTATGTTTTATCTTCGGTCATGTGTTTTGTTTGATACTTTGGACTTTATTTGCTTTGGATTTAGTTTTCTCTGTTTTAATACAATTCTTCAAGTACACCGTGCTCCTCCCTCCTGCCTGCATTTTGGGTCCAACACCACTGGAGCCGCGTCTACGGTGGGCCGAGCCCCGTCCGCGTCCACTTTGAGCCGAGGCTCGTCACGTGTCTGTTCGAGCTGAGTCACATTCACGTCAACGACGAGCCATGCCACGTCCACGCCCACGTCAGGCCGAGCCCCTGTACACGTCCGGCTGTCCCATGTACACTGTTACGTCGAGCTCCGTCCACGTCAGGCCACGCCCAGCCAAAGGATTGCCGTCGCTTTTGTTCCTGTTCCCTGGCGAGGCGAAGGATCGCCGTCGCTTTTGTTCCTGTTCCCTGGCGAGGCGAAGGATCGCCGTCGCTTCTGGTTCCTGTTCTCCGGCGAGGCGAAGGTCGCCGTCGCTTTTGTTATTGTTCTCCGGCGAGGCGAAGGTCGCCGTCGCTTTTAGTTCCCGGTCCCCGGCGAGGCAAGCCTTTGGACAACTTTGGGACGTCTGGGATCCGTCCCTTGAGGGAGGGGTACTGTCATGATTCAGTTTGGGACCAACAGGTGGCACTGTAGGGCTCTCCCTGCAGCTGCACACCTGTTGGTCATTAGGTAATTAGTGGCTTTAAAAGGACTCCCAGCCCGAACAATCATTGTCGGGTCATTGTTGCTTTTTGCTGCTGTCATGTTTGTTTGTCAGTCATGTTTCGGTCATGTTTTTGTTATTGATAGTTTTGAGCTTCAGTCATGGTTTTTGGTTGATACTTTGGACTTTGTTTGTTTAGGATTTAGTTTTCTGTGTTTTATCAATACACTTCTTCAAATACACCCTGCTCCTCCCTCCTGCCTGCTTTTTGGGTCCACCACCACCTCGCAGCGTGACAATATATGATCAGTACACCTACTTGAAATACTCCCAAATGTTATTGCACTGTTAAGAACTGAGCTACTATGACCCACCAAAAAATCTTTGAGTTATTTCTTTTTTTTGTGAGTTTTACAGGTTTGATTTATTTTAATTTATTTCTTTTTGATCATTACATTGCTTACCTATTAGAAGGCAAAGGTCAATAAGGTTTCCTTACTTGACAGGTTCCCAAGATTCCCTTTCAAAGCCTCTGTGAATGGACTGAGCGATGGAGGACTCCATCAGGTCCACGTAACGCACCACCAGGGGGGCATAAAGGTCTTGCAGGTGTTTGTGGAACCGCCCATTGCAAAGGTTATCTGTTTAGAAAAAAATGATGACTGTGAATGTTCATGCATATGGAGTCAGTCTATGATAGGTGAGCATAAGTCATCATTTGTGACATTTTGAGTGTACATCAAAAACATTCAATCGTTACTGCGTTAAATGAACAATTTGGGAATATATTCTAAAACTTGTGAAAAAATTGGTTCAGAAAGAAAAAAACTTGTCAGTGGAGGTTGGTAATGTGACTTTTGCACCTCTTCTCACAGGTGTGACACAGTCGAGGCAGTATGTGTCAGGTCGGAGATGTCAGAATACTTCTTAATCAGAACCAATCACACACACACAGTCCCCCCTGTCTCTGCCAGCTTCCAACTGGGAAAAAGGCAACACTGACAAAGACCGCAGGAGATAAAATGGAGGCCAGTGTGTGCTAAAGTGATGGCTCACGGCTCCATGCAGCGTGCTTGCTTTTCCTCTCCGTCGCTCTCTCTTTGTTTTTCTCTCCCCCTCTGAGCATGTATGTGTTTGTGTGTATTGGCATTGGAGTCAAGGTCAGCGATACACAGTAGGTGCAATGTTTGTTGTGTTCCGTGAGTGCCACTTTCCCAATTAGCCACTTCAGCGGCTGTTGTCCACTTGGATGTGTTGTGGCCAGGAGTGTGTTTGCAGGGCTCGCCGCGACCCAAACGCGACTGCTTTAGTCCTCATTAACTCCTCGAATAGCAACCAGATTTGGGCGGCTGGCTGGTACTCAGGCTATTTACTGCTGCATAAGTGCATCGCTGAGGGGCACCGGATCAGATGACCTTCTGCAGAATGTAAACCTGCATCAAGATAGAGTTCGAGTAGAGAGAGTATTTACGTGGGCAACAGATATTGTCTGTCTTTGGCTGTATTTCAGAGATTATTTACTGTGCCTGATGTCTTAATGAACAATTTTTTCGACAACTTGCAAATAAGAAATTTAATTCATGATCTTTCATGTTGTCAATGACCTTTAAAAGTGCTACACTTTTTGTTAGTGACCGTTAAAAAAAACAGAGTGGACTTCTTTTTTTTTAATGACTTGTAATTACTGGTACAAGAATTGTTTGCTATGTCCTCCTGTATATTATTTCAATTGACATCTTCAGTGTTCCAAAGTGAGGCCCTTTTGAGGCACTACCAAATGAGCAGATTTGCAAGGAATGAGTGGATTACAATCTGACTTCTCCTTGACTCCCGGTTGACTAAAAGAAAAGGGGGAACATTCCCCAGGGACAAATTGCACCCAATTGGTTGAGTTGGAATTGTTAAGAGCAAAGTGTATCCTTTACAGGACCACAGACAGCGCCGCAGTGCTCCCTCGGGCAAGAATGCAGTTCATTATAGAGATTGCAGGCCTGCAGCAACCAAAGTCAAGATCATTATCTTCGGTCAAACACACACACGTGTGAATGAATACACAATCGTCAGCACACGTACAATATACATGTGGTTCACCCACATAAGTATTGATAATTTTAGATGCCGTTATCGACACAAACCAGTGCCAGAAACATCACATCAAGCTCCAACAAAAATGGCAAATGAGATGCATATTCTGTAAACATGTTTTCCTCAAGAAAAGCAGCACCAGACGACCATTGTTTTGATGAACTTGTCTCAATAATAGGCAAAAATAATCAGTGTTAAAGCTATGATAAGTGAAATGTTCTTTTGTTGAATGCAGTTGATTTAATTGTTCGGGGAATTGATCGAGTAGTACTGTCATGAAAACAATTTTGCAATTTTAAATCCATCCACCCATTTTTTTTTGTATGACTTGTCCTCATTGGAGTCGTGGGTGAGGTGGAGCCTATCCTAGCTGACAATGGGTGAGAGGAGCGTTACAACCTGGACAGGTCAAGGGCAAATCGCAGGGCACAAGCACAGTAAAAGCAACGGAAGCACGGAGCAATGGAATTCTTACTTTGCTAGTCTCCCTCCACTTCTACAAAGAATTTAAAAGATAAAAAGGGGGGGTTGTATATAATCTGTACAATTTAAAAATGATGACATTTAAAATAAAAAAAGGACAGTCCATCCGCGTTTGGCAGTGGCAATAATTTAGTTGGCGCAAAAGGAAAAAAAAATATATAAGGCACAGACTATTGGCAAGTATTGCAGGTTGCAGAGGTATTACACAGTGTAAGCGTTCAAATGTGCAAGATTACAAAAGTAAAAGGTTGCACAATGTGCTTGACAGATTGTGATGTCATTTGTTGAGCAGTCTGCTAGTGTGTGGGTAGAAGCTATTTTTTTTTGGGCTCGTTTCACTTCGTGTGATTCCTGTAGCGTTTGCCAGATGGGAGAAGCTTGTACATTGTGTGTTGGAGATGTGGACTGTCTTTGTGGGACAGCTGTCATATATGTGGCGCAGTGGTGTGAAGGCTACATCACAGATGTTTAGAGATTTTTTTAATGACATTCTGGCGGGCGTTCCTGTTCTGCATGGTACAGTTTGAAAGTTTTCTTCCTGCAGACCTTTGCATACCTCAGCTGACAATACTGTTCGTATAATCTCCCTGCATCTGTATGAGGCGAGTGCGTCAAAGTGGGCGTTAGAACTCGTTCAGTGAATCTGGCAGTGTGTTGTTGCTGCTCCTGGTCCTGATGGTGTTGCGCCACTGTAGGAGGTGTGTGATGTGATGAGGCTTTGCTCTTTGGAGTCAGGGGTGTTGTACTTTCCCTCCAGGTTCAGCCTGAATGGTCTCTTAGCTTGTCTGATGGATCTACGTGGTCGTATTGCAATTTTTTGTGGACATCACTATCACCAGAGGCGAATGCAGCGGAGCGTGCAAATGGCATGGGCCATAAATCACAGGCCAGGTGTTTGATTTCAACAGATATCGCAGCACTTGGTAGCGGCAATGCTGTTGATGCATGTGCTGATGTAATCCGTGACAGCTGAGAATGAGAGATACTCCTCAGATACTACATTCAGACCAAACATGAGGTGAGCGTTTTTGGTGGTGAAATCCCATATATACTGTAGTCAATGCAGTTCTTGCAGTCGAGCACGGATGTGTGCATAGCGGATTTAACTTTTGTTACACATCACCTCGCAGCAGCCAAAACGCTTTGGCAATGTACGATGTCACACACAGCGTCGTGTACAGTTAGTTTTTGAGTCAAGATTCTACAACAATGGAAGCAAACTTTATCATCGCTGTCTGTAGCTAGCCGGAGCTCAACAACGCAGCCATCAATTAGTACAGGACAGAGATCAAAGAGAGCAGGCTTGGAGAATGGTGAGCAAGGAAGTTGGCATGTCCGATAAATGTATTTACCAGTATTGACTGCAGGAGAAAAGGAGTGGCTCGGCTGCAGTCCTAGGAAAGAAATGGAAGTACTCTGCAATGCTATCTCTTCTTGACCTGTTGAAATGCTCTAGTTGTCTGTCAAGCAAAGCTCCCTCCCCTTCTCTGGTGTTCGCAAATGAAGCCGCCGTGTCTGGTACAAAGTACCGCAGTCAAACTGCAGTAAGCAAAACAAGGCGGAATGCTCATCTCACGTTTGGTCTGAACCTAGCATAAGACTTCAGAGCAGCCCTCACTCTTCAATGAAAGACATTCCAATTTGGAGTGTTAATGCAGTCTTGGAGTACAAGATCAGTCTCTTCATTCCAAACACTTACTGTTTTCTTTGCTGGAGAGTGAGTTTGAGGAGCTGCCTGAAGGAACACCAATATGTGGTCACATTGTCCAAAATGGGGCCGAGGCACAGCATTAAATGTATCCTTCAACATCCTATGAACTTGGTCCAGTGTGTTAGTTAACTATGTTGAAATCTTTACATGCTGCTGGTATTTTGGGAGAACAGTTCTGAGGTAACAATGGTTGAAATCTTGCTCTGCAATAAATAAGCAGGAGCATAAACAAAAGAAGAACAAGCAAACTCCACACAGGAAGGAAGCCTTCTTGTGTGATTGTCATGAGCTAACTACCTGTCACGGTGCCGTACATTTTAGATCAACATAATACATGGAAATAATTTATTTATACATAATACATGCATTTAGTGTATTTTCTGCACTATAAGTTGCTTCGAATTATAAGGTACATCTCCAATGAATGGCCTATTTTAAAACTGTATATATATCATATTAGGGTGCACTGTATTATAAGTCCCATAGAAGCTACAACAGTGGCTGCAGTTGCGCTATGCATCCACTAGATCATGCTAAGCTAAAGGGAATACAAAACAATACAATACAGCTTTATTTATTTAGGGCCTTCACAACCAATAAAGAAACCCATGAGAACTGGTCACAAACACGGGCATGAAACATAAATACAAATGGCATTACAAAACAATAAATGAAAGGCAAAGTTATGAAGACAACTGATTCAACAAAAAGGCACACAAATCTCCTGGGCTCACATCCACAAGGGGCTAAATATCTTTAGAAGTCTTACTTGTCTCCTTCTTCCTTCATTTAGTCAGTAGTTAACTATGCTTTTGGTATTATCTTTGTGAGCTCTGGCTGCGCAGAGCTCACAAAGTAGTTTGCTGTCGGAGTGTGTCATGGCGAATGCACATGTCAATTAGTGTCGGGCAGAACCCTTTTAGGTAACAATTGGTTCCTGCTAATAACCACCAGGAGATGGCATAGGTACACAAACAGGGAAACAATTCAAGGAGAAATATAAAGAGATGACTCACAATTCTAAGATCCATTTCCTTTGGACACAATATACTAACCCCCTATTCTTATTTTGATCAAACACTCCTGTCTTAAAAAATGAATCATGGGGTGTTTCAGAGATGCTGAATTATTAGAACACCTCCCCATATAAAGAATCAGCAGCACCACAAATTTGATGCTTCAAATTAATCACCATCCCACAAAGCACACTTAATTAAACGTTCAACATCCTAATGCTGAAGAAGGCTATGCTTTTACACTGCTTTCATTTGATATAAAAGAACCAAAAAAACTTGCAGTCAAACCAATTATATATTTTTGTAATTTTTGAAAGACTGCCAGACAGTGGCCTGCAATGAAGGCGTAACTGCAATGTATTTTAAATGATGGCTATAATGTAATGCTCATGTTATTGTATCGAGTGTACTGTATGTCCAATGTTTACGCATTCACACAGAAAAAAGATAAGCTAAAACTGCGTAAAAACAAATTTTTATTTGGACCCACTAGATTTGGAAATAGTTGCCGATGAAGGATATAAAATGAAAACATTTTATATCCTTGAGTAACCATTTTTAAGTGTGCATAAATTCTATCATATCGATCCTTATTTTTTTCAAAATGTGAAGTGTAGCACTAGGTAAGTGGCTAATCTCATTTCCCCTGGCCCAACTCACAGTCAATCCTCAGGAAGTCGTTGAGTAGCTGAAAGAGGGGGAAACTGTCCCAGCTGTCAGGCGGCTGCACCTCAAGAGCTGCATCCATGTCAGTCGAGTAGAGACACAGGAAGGTCTCGGCGTGCTCCACCATCAGGTCTGACCACCAGGCAAAGGCCTTCAGATAGAGTCGAGGAGACGAGTGAGACTCAACACAAGTCAACTTTATTTATACAGCACTTTAAAAACAACTACAGCTGCATACAAAGTGCTGTACGAAAAGGAATAATCTGACAGATAAAAACAACTGCCGCTAAAACAATAAATGAATAACATACACAAGTGTGAGTGTGTGTGTGTGTCTGTGTATATGTGTGTGTGTCTGTGTATGTGTGTGTGTGTGTATATATATATATATATATATATATATACACGCACACACACACACACACACACACACACACACACACACACACACACACACACACACACATACACAGTATCTGTGCAAACACACTTCTTAGTTGCATTTCCTGTGAATATTTTAAAATAATCTGAAGCAAAAAAATGCTGTGCTTGGACACGGAGGAGGCAGCAGCTCCTTGACAAACATGATATGGAGCTGCAGTACTTAAACCATTACTCACAGCTCCTTCATCAAATCACCCAGAAAAAAAAAAAAAAACAGCCCGTTGAGTTGTGCCACACTTGCTGTACATCCCCATGGAAGGATCACAGTGGAGGCATGATCAAGGGTCGGGTTGCTGTCAAGCACTTCACAAACATTCACTTTCCTGAATGCGCACTGACTCGTTACTCTTTAAACAACACCCTGAGGAGCTGAAATTTGTGGTCATTCACATCAAGTATCAATGCAGTAATTTTTCCATCAGCTTGAAGGTGGCGGTATGCACTACCTTTGAGAGTTAGCTCTGAACGATTGAAAATGGAATACTTTATTAAGAAGGAACATATATATTCTGTAACACGGAGTGCCCATTTAGAGCAACAATAAAATGGTAGTCGATGCTGAAATGCGAGGATGCTAATCTGTTCAAGTGGGTGTTGTGAGGTGGCTGGTGCAGCATTTTAATCATGGTATTTGTTGGCAAACAATATTGATGCCCGCTGACGTTTTTTCACCTCTGCAAGGAGCTTTTCCACTTCAAACATGATACCCCCACCGTTTACAACAGCAAAAGTAAACATAATAGTCCAACACTGAGTCAGATGTTTACACATTTGTTTTTCTTTGCTTCTATATCAGTCATTCAAATGTGTACATGACACAGTTTTTGCGCTGCATTGTGGGATCAGTAGTTTGTGTGTCATCAGTCATTCAAAAAAAGTATATTGGTGTTTCCCAGAATGCTTGGCTGTAGTTACAATTATCAACTTTGAAAATGTTATCATGCCATGTTATTTTGTACAGGCATGATATATTTAAAGTGGTGTCATTTTGAGTTGTCTACAAGTGAATTGTTGCGATATTTAGTGGGGGTGAATACGGCTCTCTAAGTTGAAATGTTCATGCTCTGAATGACAATTTGTTCTGTTGCAGCTTTGCAGTAACATATTAATGCACGTCAGATAAAGGCTTGATTTACCTCGAAGCAATGGGCATCTCATATGATTATACCTCACAAGCATACTGGATACACGATTCATTGGATAGCTCATGATAGCTTAATGAAAGATGGGCGACTTGAACGAAGCGGAGAAGGGCGAGATGCGATAACATGGCTCTGTTGGAATGCTACAACTCAAGCAACCCTAGTCAGAGTGGTTACATGCAGAGAATGTGGGATGAATGGTTACATCGAAACCCACAGACCACGAAACAACTAGTAGCTCAGTGTTCCAACATCCACAAACTTGAGATTGATGAGGTACAACACAGATTCCATGGTGAAGGGCCCCAGGTTGCCAGATCAGAGGAGGAGGTTATACCAGAGATTGGGAGGCCAGCCCCGATCAATGAAATGCTGAGCGAGGCAGCAACTGACCTGAAAGCTAAGATCATGGCGAGAATGAAGGCTGGGCAAAGAAGAAACCGATTACAACGGAAATGTGAAGTACCACCTGAAAGTCTCATGGAAAGTGTGAATGCAGCACTGAGGGCGATCCCTACTGTAATGATCACGGAAACCAATGAGCTGATATACGCTTCAGCATCATTGATCCTAGAAATGCTTGGCTATAAGAGCAACCATGGGAGCCATGAGATACGTTACCCACCATGGAAAAGACGGTTGGAGAATCAGATCAAGGCGGCTCGGAAAGATGTGAGTCAACTGACGGAGACCCAGAGAGGTGTGATGAAAAGGCCACATACATGGATCACTGAATGCTTGGAGTTGTATAAGGTGAACAGGACCCTAAGAGCCTTCGTTGTGAACCGATGACAAGCCACTTATCCAAGTGTGCATCAAATGTGGCATATACCAAGGTGATGCTCTCTCTCCCCACTGCTGTCCTGCTGTGCTGAAGCCCCTAAGACAAGTAATCGCCAAGACTGGCTATGGATACCGCCTCAGAAATGGAGCTACGATCAGTCACCTCCTCGACATGGATGACACAAAACTGTATGCTAAGAGCGAAAGGGACATAGACTCCCTGATCCACACAACCAGGATCTACAGCAGTGACATCGGGATGTCATCCAGGCTTGTGAAATCCAGTCGGATGGTGACTAAGAGAAGCAAGGTAGTCCACACTGAAGGGGTCTCACTACCTGAAGGAACAATAGCAAACACTGAGGACAGCTACAAATACCTCGGTATACCACAAGCCAATGGCAACCTCAAACTGGCAAAAGGAAAGCAGCTACGACCAAAAACCTCCAGCGGGTGAGGCAAGTCCTAAGAAGCCAGCTCAATGGCAAGAATAAGATCCGAGCAAGAAACAGCTATGCCCTGCCAGTGATCAGATACCCTGCAGGAATAATCAGGTGGCCAAAGGAAGAGATTCAGACCACAGACGTAAAGACCTATGTTAAGACCCGAAAGCTCCTAACCATGCATGGAGGGTTCCATCCCAAATCCAGCACCCTGAGACTGTACGCAAGCCGAAAGGAAGGAGGCCGGGCACTAGTGAGTGTGAGAGCCACTGTCCAGGATGAAACATCCAAGCTCCATGAATACATCAAGGAGAAGGCTCCAACGGATGACGTACTCAGAGAATGTCTCAGACAAAGGAGAACG